TTAATCAAATAACCACACAAGGAAATGTAAAACTGCAGCTGTTTTGTAAGTGCTACAAAAGAGAGGGAATTCATACTTGAGTTTAAGAGGAGGAGAGTTGACCCAATCAGAAATTAGACCCAAATCCTGTCTGAGAAAGGGAGTGCGAGGAGTATTGACTTGAGATAGAAAGAATGAGAGGATATTTACTAGGCAAAGAGGAGAGGTTTGAGCAAAGTGCTTAAGCAGAGGTCGAAGAAAGTACATGTACAACGACTCTGAACCAAGAAGTACAGGGAATAGAAAGAAGGTTCTTGCCTCTGAAGCAGAGGAGCCAAGAGTGAGTTGACTTTGGAGAGGCATCAAGTGGTCAGAAATGGGAAGCCTTGAAGATTTTGCTAAGGCATTTTCTTCTTTTTTTTTTAAGATTTATTTATTCATTCATATAAGTATTGACTTGAGATAGAAAGAATGAGAGGATACTTACTAGGAAAAGAGGAGAGGTTTGAGCAAAGTGCTTAAGCAGAGGTTGAAGAAAGCACATGTACAATGAATCTGAACCGAGAAGTACAGGGAATAGAAAGAAGGTTCTTGCCTCTGAAGCAGAGGAGCCAGGAGTGAGTTGACTTTGGAGAGGCATCAAGTGGTCAGAAACGGGAAGCCTTGAAGCTTTCACTAAGGCATTTTCTTTTTTTTTTTTTAAAGATTTATTTATTCATGCATACAAGAACTGGGGTACAGGCCAGAGGTGTGGAGCATGAGAGGATACACCAGAGAATAGAACAGGCAGATGGACTGAAATACACTGCTGAGGAGGGCAGCGGATGAGTCAGGAGAGGTCTGGTGCATCATGTGGGTAGCTCCCTGGCTGGGGATCGAACCAGTGCTGCAGTAGCTGCAGAGAGCTTCATAGGTTGTGTCTTAACCCCTTGTGCCACTAGGGAGGCCCCTTTTGCTAAGGCATTTTCTTCTTTATCCCAGGAGCAAGTTACCCTAGAGTTTTCAGCAGAGGAAGTTAAGTGATCTAAATGTGATTCTCATCCTTCTCCTTCTTCCTCCAAAATAGGAGTGGTGGCATCCCTCTAATCTAGTCTGGTCAGATAATATTTTCAGTTTGGGGTGCCATATTTTTAAAGAAGGTTATTGAAAAGAGCATGTGTGTCTAACAGAGAACAGCACCAAAAGGTAAATGATCAAGAGGGTTGAAGGTGGAACCTGCAACTATTTACAGAAAAATATTCTTCCCAATGTATCAAATGTTTCAAGTCCCCGCCCCCTATAACAGGTGCCTATTATTTAAAGAGAAAAAACTCCCATGCTCCTCTCCACTAGCACCATAGCCCTGCCTCTTGTTCTCTTGCTGAGGGGCTGGATACTGGCCTATATCTCTTTTTAAGGGCCCATCTCAGTCTGATCCACTTCTGACTTTTGGAAATCTTGTGTGCCATCTTTGATTTGCATATTAGCTCTTTATAAATAAATCCTTTGATCTCTGTTTTTATTTCTTTCAACTTGTTTTTAAGCAACGTGATTATATACCGTAAGGGCAGGAACTGGGCACAGTGCAGGTTTTCTGATCCCATGCAGACCGGGTAAAGGAGGAGTCAGAGTCCTCAGTGGTTTTGCAGGTCTTTTATTGGGGTTCACCAGGCATATGGCAGGCAGGGGTGCTGGCTGCCTGGGCAGCCAGCAGATATGGGCAGAGGCCTGCCAGCCTCCCAGCCCCCAGCAAGTCTTCACTCTATCTGGGCTCTCTGGCGTTCGTTCTGCTGTTTCTCGGCTTCTCTTTCGGCTTCTGCTTCGGCTTCTACTGCTGCTGCTGCTGCTGCCAGTGCTGCTAGTGTCCCCCCCTCCCCATGACGCCGCCCTTAAAAGCACAGTCTTAGCTCAGCTGAATCCCATCTACCTATGCCCACACCCTATTCCAGGTGCCCGCCATCAGGCATGCATTCAGGACAAGGATCCATCATCTATCCTGATGGCAGAAAAGCCTGACATTTTCTTTACCCTACAATACCAAAATTGTAGAGCAGCAGTTGAAGGAAATGAAAGATTCAGTTAGGAATGAGAATGTCAGTGGTGATATTAATACAGTGAGAGGCACTGAGCTGTGGCATTGAAGTAGGGAACAGAGAATTGGGAAGAAGCGATGGGAAGGAGGGAGTAAGGGAGAGAGTGCATTGTAGGAGAGACATGTATTGAATATTGACATAAATTATTGAGTTGAAAAGAAATGAAACTGAATTTCTAATAAGTGCACCATCTAGTTTCTTTAAATCTGTTCTAATTTATTAAGTCATCCATTCCTACTGGTTTCATAAAATTAGTGTGGTTAGACTGATGTTTTCTAACTTCAGTAGTTTTTCTAACTTCAGTAGTTTTACCAACTGCATGATTTTTGTCTTATATACCTTCCTTTAGTACTAGTTGTTCTTTGATACTATATATTCAACTAACTAAGATTTATTTTTATTTATACAAGAACCAGGGTACAGGCCAGATGTGTGGGAGGGTGAGAGGATTCACCAGAGACAGAGCAGGGAGCAGAACAGGCAGACTGACTGAAATACACTGTTGAGGGGAGCAGCGGGCGAGACAGGAGAGGTCTGCTGTGCCGTTTGGGTGTATCCCCAGCTGGCCAGGCTCAAACCCACACTTTAAATTGACCCCTCAAAATTTTTCTCCAGGAAACAATCAGCTTAGAATCACCAGTTTGAATCGATACACATGTATTATATGTGTACAAATATATGTATTGATAGATACATATACAAAATACACATTTTTAAACTGTACATTTAAATTATATTCTACACCACTAAAACTTGATTTAAAGCAGAATCTCTAGTAGAATTTGAAATAAAACCAATCTTCCCCAAATTAATTTATCCCACCCCTTTTCATTCACTAGTCTGTTACCATGCACTTCAAGAGATTCTTTTGTGCATAATATATATGGAGCTGTTTGGAAGATATGGGCAGAGCAAAATTAGTGCTAAGGGTTGGATATGTTTAGATTATCAGAAAGAAATCCATATTTTCCAAAAGAGCTATATTTGCTTCTGTTGGATTTTTTTCCATTTCCACTTAAAATGATTTGCAGCAGCATTTTGAGTGAATGTAAGAGCAATTTTTTAATAATCCAAGTTTTTTCAAATAACTTATTTTTGTAACTGTGGAAGGGTGATAATCTTATGGTTGGGAGATCCAAAGTCAGTTGGAGTGAGGCATTTGTTGAAAGATGCACAGTGACATACCACATGTACATTTCTACTGTGTTCTCCATAACTTGTTGGTATTAAATCAGTGAAATAGAAGAATGGCTCTCAAGGCTGTCATTGTCCTAATACCTAGAATCTGTGAATTTTGTTGTTACAAGGCAAAGGGCAATTAAGATTGCAGGTATAATTAATATTTCCAATCAGCTGACTTAAAAATAGGGAGATTGTCCAGGTGAACCCAGTGTAATCTCAAGGTTTGTAGAAGTGGAAGAGGGAGGAAGAGGGAGTCTCAGAGTGCTTTTATGTGAACAGGATTCAGCTCACCATTTTTGGCTTTGATGATAATGGAGATGATGAACCAAAGAATGTGGACAGTTTCTAGAAGCTGGAAAAGGCAAGATAGGAAATTCTCCCTTAAAGCTTTTGTACGGAAAGCAGCCATGCCAATATTTAGCTGGCCCAGATGTGTTTTGGACTTGGGGCCTCCAAACTGTAAGATAATTTGTGCTGTTTGAAGCCATTAAGTTAGTGATTATTTGTTACAAGAGAAGTAGAAAACTAACCAAATGAATGTCAGGTTTACTTCATTCCTTACTCTCACAGCTACAGGTTTGGCATATTCTTTTGGCACTCTGAACTAATTAAGGCAAATTTTGGGGTACTACAATCTTATCAACAGAATTAATTCCTAAATTGCACATGCTATTATTCCAAAAGATTATTGATGTTAATGTCCAGTTAATAGTTTCTTTTAAAAATAAGTGCTTTGAATGGCCTCCAGCTATAAGAACAAATATAAAGGAGCTTTGGAGAGTCAATAAAATATTTAAGTATTTTTTAAAGGCTGTATAGCCAGAGCTCCGAATTCTGATTAAGTCATGTCGTTTACTACTAGCTTTGGTTTGAGAAAACTGATCTTTCTAAAACCGTTTCATTGATAAAATAGGGTTAAAATGATAGAACCTACACACTAGATTTGTGGAGAAGTTTTAATGAGATAATCTATTTCAGGTACTTACTATGACGCCTGGTATAGAATTAAGTGCATCTCCTAATGGTGTTGGTTATTATTATTGTTCCTTTACCTTGCCAATTTCAAAACCTTCTCAAACAAAAAAAAAGTTCACCTCTCAAAACCCTTACTGTATTAGCGACCAACACATCCATGGCTTCTTTCAAGCCTCATTTCTAACGAAGCAGCAGTAAATCTTTCTGAGAATAACATCTCTCTTAGCAACACTTAACCCTGAGTCAACAATTCTTTTAATTATTAAATATTCATTCACTAAAGTAATTGTTTAAAAAAAATGGAGGGGGTAAGACAATAGCCTAACTATAGATTCTAATTAAGCTTTTTTTTTAATTTCCCTAAGGCGGGGCAGGACGAATTCTTTGCTAGGCACCCAGCAAACTCCCTTCCCGTACAGCCGCCGCATAAAAGGGGTTGCTCCCGGCTCTCGCCGGCACACGAGGTATTTCTTCGGTCTCGGGGCGGTGCCAGGTGAGCCTCGGTGGAGCAGGGATCGCAGCGTGCAGCGCTAACAGCGGCTGCAGGTTGTTAAAAGCCTCGCCCCTGGCTCCCCCAAGCCCGCGTGGCCTCCAGCCGGTGCGCACTGGAGGCCCCCAGGCGAGGACGCGAGCTGAGCTTGATCAGTCCAACTTCTCTCGCGTTCGCCGCGCTCTGGCTGCCCTGCTAGGTCTCCCCACCGTGCCCCAGCCGGGTCTCGCGTCCCCGGGGCTCCGGAAGGAAAGGAGGCGTGTCCGGAGCAGGCGGGAGGGAGCTATATAAAAGTGCTGGCTGCGCGCCGGCCCGGGCTTCACTCGCCTCCTCGCGCCGGGACCTGGAGCGCTGCGGGCAGCACAAGCGGTGGAGAGGGCGCTGCGCTCGGGCTACCCAATGCGTGGACTATCTGTCGCCGCTGCTCGTGCAATATGCTGGAGCTCCAGAACAGCTAAACGGAGTCGCCACACCGCTGTCTGGGCTGGATCGCCGCGCTGCCTTTCCTTATGAAGAAGACACAAGTGAGTAGGAGTAGGGCGCACCCGGGAGCTCACAGGCAGGCGCTCCAAGGAAATCGCGCCCAGCGCCTGGGGGAGGCCGGCGCGTCCCGGGCGTGCGGAGCTGTGCCCTCTCGGCGAGCCCAGAGGGTGCGGGGGAGGCGGGCGTGGCGTGCGCTCCGGAGCCGCCGGCCCGGGTGAGCCAGAGCGAGGAGTAGGAGGGATGGGAGGGAGACGGTGTCAAGTTTGCAGCCGCGGCCGTTAAGTTTGGAGCTGTCAGTAGGGAACGGCAGTTCCTGGAAGATGGAAGGCTCTGCTCTTTGGACTGGGAATTGAAGTTCTCACGGAAGGCATGTCTTGGCTCCGAGACATTTGCCCGGGGAAGCCGAGGGATTACAGAACCGCTCCCCGCGCGCCACGCTCGCTCGCCGGCGCACCCAGACTTTTGCGCAGCCCCCAGGTGGTCGCGGGGCTCGGGCGGAACGGGTGCAGCCAGGGAGCGCAGGAAAGCCCGAGCTCCCTAGCTGCAGCTCCCCAAGGGCCGGAGAACCTGCCCGCCCATCCGGGGAAACTTGGCTCCCCGCGGCGTTGGCCAGATATGCGGCTCTGGGTGAGCTCCCTGGAGAGTTCTAGAAGGGTAATTCCTTCACATCGCACCTATCTCCTTCCATTATAGATCTGGTTTTTAAAGTGGCCAACCCTAATGATAGTTATTGAGATAATTCCCAGTGCTACTAAGCTGTGCATTATACGTAACCCCACCAGCCAGGGGTATAATTCGATTATCTTTTTTTTTTTTTCCCCCTTGAAGCAAATATCTGACTTTTCCTTTCCAAAGGGCCATCACCATGCCCCCAGCCACAGCTTTTTTTTCACCACCGGTGTTCATAGCTTTTTTTTACCTCCCTAGGAATTTTTTTCTGTGCATCTGCAGCGGGTTAAGTAAGGCTGCCCTTTCACCGCCTCGCCCCACCCCCGGTTTCTATCGGAGATTGCAATTCCTGTGTCCAAGAGGTGGACGGGGTTGAGGGAGAGAAAGGAAATGGGGGGGTTGTGCAAATCGCCAGTTTGGAATGAAGACATCCATGTGCTGAACTTGCTTTATTAAATGACCTGCTTGGTATCATATTTTAAACAGATGTCTAGGCCCGGGGAATGTTCATTCAGAAGGAAGTAGGAAGACCTCCAGGTTTCCACCTGTGTGAAAAAGGGCAGGGTGAAGGGATAATGCCTGGCAGGTTTGCTTGGTCTCTAGAACAGCAACCTAAAACGAAGAAAGCGCAGCACAGCTCCCTCTGGCAAGCCGCTTAGTTAATAGCTGCACATGAATGCCACGCTTGGGATCACCAAGGTGTGTTGTTGAAATGCACATGTTAAAGATTCCGGCAATGATAAAATAGTTTGAATGTCATTACTTGATAGGGCTTTCTGCTTTGTGAAAATCATCACCTGATAACCAGTCCGCTGATCTAGTAGCATCTTCTCACATGAATGGTATTGGTGGGACTGGGTGGAGAAACTGCTACCTTGTAGTTCAGAAAAAGAGTCTCAATCTTCCTATTTAAACAAGAACTGGAGACAGATCAGGTTAATGTCCAACACTCCAAAGGGGGCCATGTACTCTCAAGTCACTGAGAGTCAGTAGGATTGATGATCCTAGCACCTTTGCTTTGCAAAACAAATGTGAGCTCTGTAATCTCCTTTCTCACTTTGATTAAATGGCTGTGCAAATCGGATTAAGTGGAATAATTCCATTGAAAACTAGAAAGAGGTGGATCTAGTCTGAAACGCTGGGGCTGTGGTGTTAGTGACTCAAATGCTGAAGACCAGGGATATTTGAGACAGCTAAGTATTTTAGAAATGTGACCTGCTAGGACCAAGTAAGAGTGCAGGCCCTTTGGGGGAACTTGCTGATGTTAAAGGACTTGCAGGCCAAGGAGGGCAGTGCCCTTGTTGAATGAAGGCATTCATCGCCTGGGATCTAATGACCTTCAAGGTTTTCTTTAAAGATACTTCTAAAAAGTCCACATTCCTGCCACTGAAAAGGGGGACACGGGAAATACCCCAGAATCAATAAAATAATCTGCGGGAAGGTGGGAAAGAGTTAGAGTCTCTTTCCTAGTGTTAAATTTTGGAATTCAAAAGTTACAAAGAAATTTTCTCTGCAACACTGTATGGATGAAGAAAGAGTAGTAGCATGAGGAAATAGACACTAAGATGCAAAGTCAATTGTTTTGCTGAATCTGTTATCCTTGCAAGCAATATCTATTAATACTCAATAATTTGTTTATAAACATGACATCAGTGGCAGAGTTCTATTATAAGGCAAATGGTTCTGTACTCTCCCACTCCTATAAAATAAGAATTTAATAGTGATAATATTAATAAACTCTAACTTGAGTTGTGGGGCTTTCCAAAAATAATGGGGACACCGGGCATTCAGGCCTTTCAGTCAAACTCAGCAAGTATGAAAATTCTATTAGCATCCACTTGAGGTTTGATAAATGATTCTTTCATTTATTTAGCACTTGTGATGGACTTACATATTTGGAAAATAATTGCATGGGCAACCGAGATAAAGAGCAATGTTAACAGTAAATTTAACCACAAGTTGACAGGAAGTGAATGTTCTTTGCATTTCTCAGATTTTGGATTTATTCATATTTTGTGGTTTTAGAGTTTCTAAAGGGAATAGTGTCTCTGACTTAGAAAGAACATCTTCGGTGTCTGACAGAACATCATCAGTATCTGATCATTTTTTTTCAACATAATTCTCTGATAGTATATCAGCAAGAACTAGGCAACATATTTTGCAACACCAATTAGAAAAGCTCTGTCAGTTTAATGGCTTTTCGATGCTGTGCTTGCATTTTAGTTTTGAGACAGTTTGTGAGCTTTTTCGTGACTGTTGTCAGTTTTAGAAATACTAAGATCGGAGAGCTTCATCTTGTAAAGAATGTAGAAAAGGCCATTTTAGACATACATTCATTCTCAGCAGCACATTTCAGGCAAATAGAATGCTTGTTAGCTTTTGTGATTCCAAAGCAAACTATCCCTTTATTGTCTCTATGAAGCATGTCATCTGGGTGATGATGCAAGTTTACTTTATAGAAAAAAAATTAACATTTATGAAAAGAGCATTTTTCAATCTTGTCCTTAAAATCACTCAATTTGGAGTGTGTGCTTTGAATAATTTGAATTTATGTAGCTTTTAATTGATACATTCTGCCAAGACTCCAAAGCTCAAGTGCTAAGTCGATTACATTTAACATAAAACAAGGAAAATAACCATATGGAAATCTGATGACTTGAGCCAAACCAATTAAAATTGCTAAATTTTATTTATGTCTTACTGCAGATTTGAGGATAACAAATTGTGAGGAACATTTGTGCTTTAATGTTAGTTGATTGAAATCTTTCTATCACTATACATTAAATTAAAAAAAAAAACAAAACCTCTGCTCAAATAGCTTGTCTGAATATTTTGAGTTTTGGAGGCTTCTTACATGATGTCTTGAGCCCTGCTGCCTTGGCTTTTTCCCATCCTTGTCTGGGGAGAATCTAAGACATAGTGGAAAGATCCTGAGTACTACTTTTGAAAGCTTGGGTTCAAAATCTTGCTTCACCACTGGGAAGACAAATAGTCTTAGATCTTGCACTTCTTAGGATTTCTGTTTTTTAATCTGAATGGTTATAAGGCAGTTATAAAGTTTTTTTTTCTCACTGGGTGGTTTTAAGGGTGAAATGAGATTTTAAATGTCCTTATCCCAGCACAGTGGTTATTGTAGTTACAGACTGAATTTATTGTCCCTAAAGAGAGCTGCCTGCTGACTTACTACATAAGCAAGAGAAAAACTGACTAGTGCAGGTAAATGATGCTTAACCAGCAAAACAGAGACCAAGCTTTCATAAATCTGGATCCTGTGGATTCAGTGCCTTCTATTTTAGGCTGATCACTCTGTTAATTACAGAGTGTAATTAACACACATCAGAGTTGTCACCAACTCTGATTTGCTTCCCTTTTTCTATATTCTTGATTTCTAAGTTCCTCTTGGATTCTAAGGCTTTATTTCAGACTACAGAGAGTTGGTCAGGTTCCTATGCCTGGTGTTCTTGCCCTGGCTCTTGGGAATGAGGCCACACATTCATTTCTGCAGGGTGTCTTTATTTTCTTTACCAGGCAACTTTGTGCATTCACTTTTTTTTTTTTCATTATGCAAGTTTGGGAGATTTTTTTTTTTTTTTCGTGATTACCTTCTTGTTCCCTTTTGTAAATTAGGGAAAGGCATTTAGATATAAATCTGAGAGATCTTTTATCTTTGTTTTCTAATACATGAATCACTAGCAGCTGCAGGAGCCTCTGTTTTTGGTATTAGTCACCTGTGTAGTCAGAATAATTTATAAAACAAATTGAGGGAGCACCAGAATACTTTTAAAATACATGCAGTTTTCAGGATGGTTTTGTATGTATGGACTGTCTCATAGAAACCATGGACAGTAGCAGCCTTATGAATTTTAAGATGTTTGCGTTTTCACTTAATCATGGCATATTTAAACCTGTTTACAGGGACTGGCATTTAGTGAAAACTATTATCCCATCTCTACCTGTTTCCAGGAAAAAAAAAATTGGGAGGGGTAGTTGGAAGGGTGGGGGTGATTTCCTTATAAGTAGACCTTATGTCCTTTTTAAAAATCACTGTGTGTATTAGCGAAAGGAACACTGCTCTTCATGTATCGCTTTGTCTCTTGGCTGTATTTTACTATTTTTCTAGGCTGTCACGTTGATGTGGCTATTAGGTGATGGAGTTCTTTCATTAACCCAAATACTAAGCTGTTTGACTTTAAGAAGATGTTTGAATCCCTAGAACTTTTGTTTCCTCAAAGTGACAAAGTGGGGATAGGTGATTTCTAAGTAACTTCCCAATTCTGAAATTCTCTAAGATACTTGTGAAAATAGGTTTGAACCATCTGCCTCTGAAGAAGATTCCTTTGATTCTGAGATTTATGTAACTGTTGCTGTTGTG